CCTGCAGGAATTTTTTGAAAAATTTAGATTTAGTTGATTTGGTAAGTAGGCCTTGATTTTTGTGCTTCTACCATGGGTAAAAAGGCTACATAGTTAAATAGTTTCTTTTTTGGGCTGTTTTAACTGTGTTTATTGTACAATCGGGAGTCTGTACAAGGTATTTTATTTTGGAAATCGACCGGATTCTCTTTGCCATTTCTGGGACTGACTTCCTGCTCGGCTCATCTGCTCGGTGCTGCTTGACGCCTCTTCCGTGAAAAATAGACCGGCTGCCTATTCTTCGCGCAGCAGAGCGGAGAGGCGCTTCTGGTGTGAGCACAAGCACTACAATGGCAGCGCTTTGCTCCGGCAGCCGTGGCTCAGCTGTAACGCAGCGCACATCGACGCAAACATCTGTTGCCCCTTTTCCACTGCTATGGTACTGCAGTCATGAAAAACGACTTAACGCCTGCATCACATACATAATGTACATACCTGAAAAGAAGGTTTGTCCCACTTCCGTATCAATCAAATGATTATCATGCATACACACAAGCAAAGAAAAGGTAACTATAACACTTACTTATTTTGCCACTCTGCTGCACAACCAAAATCAAATCCATCCTGCAAAACAAATACACAAACATGTTACGGTTGTTTTAAGACAATAAAGCAGTGTTTGGCTGAGTACTGATACCATCTGAGCTGCTTATTCAACCAACAAGAAAACACTCAAATGCTGCAATTTGTGAAAAGCCATTATAGGCTCATTTTCCAAATATAAAATGAGATGTTTTTTCAAAGCACTACACTACTAATGTGGATTTTAACATATTTAAACTCTATAGTTTTTGAAAGGCAAGGGAAAGGGAACACAATGAGGACAATGCATATCTGCAGTCTAAGCGTTAATGGGTCACATTAAGACCCTTGATTGGTTGTCTGTGTCAGATGCAGCAGACCGTGAAGGAGGATTAAAATCACTCAATTAACCTTCACACCCAGTTTACTGTACAGGTCTCCAATGTTGACATACACAGACCCACAGTACTGCTGCTGCGCAACAGATTAGACTTACATGAAAAATACTATAAAGGGCATGCAGACAGATTGTGAGATAGAGATGAACAGAGACACAGACAGGATCGAGTGTGGGAACATCTAGAGCAAGAAAGATAAATCTGACCTTGTTTTGTTTCTCATGTCCATGTTGGCCTTCAACTCTTGGCTGCTTGGACTGTGACGCTTGTACCTATGAATCAGAGAAAAGCATGGGCGCTGCATGAGCAGTGACTCATTTGATTACTAAAAGGGTATCTGAACAAGACTTTTTCTTGTACTCCTACCATGCTCCCACTCTCCCTTTGTCTCTTTGTGGGGGATGGATTCTGTCTGGATGGTTTCTGAGCTGCTCCGATGTCTGTATTGCTCTGCTTTTTGGACGGCTGTCCTCTGATCCCTTGAATGCGACCGCTCCTTCTGTGTCCAGATATTCCATCGTTCGCACAGCTGTGAAGGTTTCAAAAAAATCTGTCAGTTTAGCCAATATCCAGCATTTTTCAAATACAGTGGGGAAAAAGCAGTACTTAGAAATGCATGATGCATCAGTACCCATCTTGGGGATGTCTCGATCAAGTTGTTTTGGGCCCAAATCCCAATCCGAATCTTTTACTAATGGGTATCTACCGACAGAGTCTGATCTGATAATTTACCCACTGAACAAAATTATAAACCCAACAATTTTGTTTTTGCCCCCATTCATCATGAACTGAACTTTCTTTATGTACACAAAAGGCCTATTTCTCCCAAATATTGTTCACAAATCTGTGTTAGTGAGCACTTCCCCTTTTGCCGAGGTAATCCATCCACCTCACAAGATGCTGATCAGACAACATTGGCATTGCACAGGTGTGCCTTAGGCTGGCCACGATAAAAGGCTACTCGCCTTTTTGTAGTCGCTGGCCTAATGGTCTACTCTTGCTTGCCGGATGGATTATCTCGGCAAACAAGAAGTGCTCACTAACACAGATTTTGACAGATTTGTGAACAACAGAGAAAGTTCAGCTCATGATGAATGAGGGCAAAAAAAAAAAAAAAAAAAAAAAATCAATAAATTAAATGGTTGCGTTTATAATTTTGTTCAGTATATGTATCTGACACACTGGAATAACAGTAGCCTTCTAAATTTGGCACACCTTGTTTTCACAAGCTGCTTGATCCAAATAATGAAATTAACGTGAAGCGATCTGCTAGAGAGACTACAAAAACACTCAGTCCCCTTGAGGTTGTACTGTTACAGAGAGATGCTAATTTTACCTCACAAACAAAACAATGTTTGGCTGAGTACAGACAGAGGCTGCAGAGAGCACACAAAGCAGACAACAAAATTTTTGTTTGGTCTGCAATCAAATTACAAACCGAATTAACGTTAGTAAGTGACAGCTGATTTCACAAGCTGCCGCTCATTTCAACCAGCAACGACCTGCACCATCTAAAAATGATAAGCTAGCTAGCTGAATGTTTTGACAGATGACAGATTAGTTACTGGATGAATTTAGCAAATCTGTGTATTTTGCCAACCTGAGTGCCAGAGTGCCAGAACAGAGTCACAGATGGGTGCGACCAAATACTTTTTCACATCCACCCACTTAAATTTTCACTTGGATATGCAGTGAAAGGCTGCACTATCATTAGGGAGAGCACGCTGCAGCATAAGCAGGCTGAGATGGAAAAAACAAAAACAAAAAAACAGTAGAGTTCAATAAAAGGAAGGATACAAATTTTCTGCCTTTTTGTAGCAGATACCGATCCATTAAAATATGATCCTTCTCGGGACATCACTAATCTTTATTAATATACATCATACTAACTGAAACCAATTTGTGACAATGATATATTGGTTCTATATATCCAGCATAAATACAATGATTAGTTTCAGGACAGGTGCTGAGACCAGTGTAGGCATTTAAAGCTGCACCACGCATAGCAGTATAAGAGATAAATTTCAATGGAGAAAATATATTTTCCTATTATCAGTACCGATGGAAATGATCAATTATCAGCAAAATGTCCACAGTATGTACTCCTATAGTCTGCAAATCCTACAACGTTCAGTCCATAAAGAAAACAAAAAGTGTCAAAAAGCAAGGAGGGGAAAACACACCTACAACAAAAGAAACCAAAAAAAAAGGTGCCAGGACAACTATACCTGGGAGTGATGGAGGAAAGGGGGAGGAAAGGTGGTGGAGGTTCACTGTGGGGAGGTGCACTACAGAAACGGTTTGGGGGAATAGAATCTTCATCCATTGGACAAACTATCTGAGGGAGCAGGTCAGAGGCACAAGTCAACATCCCCTTGCTCTCTCTTTCTCTCCTTGTCTGTCCTTCTCTGTAAATAACAACAACGGAGAAAAAAAAAAATCCAAACATGCGGGGTATCATTTCAGTATGAAAGCACTTCAAAATCTTAAAAATGAGGCTTCACTTACTTTTCTGATATCTGGGATGGAGGGCTATTCTGAAATGAAGAATACAGTATATTATATTTCCTTTAGGGATGTAACAAATTATTTTCATAATAAATATAAAAAACTGATAACTGATAATTTTCTCAACTTATCACTTAGTAATAGTGGAAAGTGGCAATTTTCATCACAAAAAGTCCAATGTCTTGTTTTTTGTCCAACTAACAGTCCTAATTGAATAATTGTTTTCTGCTCTAAAAACAACAGAAAAATACAGAGAGATGCGAGATGATGAGAGAGACAAGATAAACACTTTGCTAGGTTTAGAGGTTGTTGTGAGACCATTTGTGGGGAATTTACATTTTATATTAAATTAACACAGTCAGTCAATCTGATTGAGGGTGATATAGAGTAAGTTAAAGGTTTTACACTTGTTTTTTTAACCAATGTGTAAATAAAACGTTACTAATAAAATGTGGCTAAGTGTTTTAAAAGATTTAAAAAGGTGTTGTAACACCCTTTATAATCAATTAACCAGCAAAAATTAGGCTCGAAGAAAAAAAATAGATATATATCACTCATATTTTGAATTTAAGCTCGCAGTCTTTGCCAGTCATGGTCGTTGGCACATCAATATTAGCCACTTCTCTTGCACTTGCGAGAAAGGTTGCTTGCATCTCAAGCTAGCTATATGGGAAAGTAGAAACAGACCAGGTTTTTAATCTAGCAGTAATTAAACACGAATACATTTTCAGTGAATGTTTTTAATTAAACGGAAGCGGCGGTTCGATCAAATGAGCGACGTCTACTTGCTGGAATGGACAGTGGCTCACATATCCAAAGTTTTATTTGAGCTAACGTTAGCCAATGTCATCGTATCTCACACAAAGGTTATTATAAGAATCCTCAGAGTTCAAGCTTTTAACTACATGTGAGCATAGCTTTATTGTTACTCCGTTAAGAGTGCATTCATGGTTCGGCTAATGCCGATATTCATATAGTTTCTGTAACGTTACCAGGGAATAGCCGTAGCCGGGAGCTGTCACATCCCCTAACGATCAAATGCTTTTAATGTGGCAACTGGATAAATCTTCATTCCGTAGTTAATTTGCAAACAATTATCGTGGCTAAATAATATTAAACAAACTTACCAGAAACGTTTAGCTCAACCGCAGGCTGGTATTCCGACCTCACCGTAAACAAGACATGCCGGACGGCGCCCTACAGCGACTCGTAGATGTATCCGTTTTTACAAATTCAACTACCAGACAGGCGGCTCATCCAATCACAGCACGAGTTCATTTTCCACCCCGCAAGCCCTGTTGGAATCTGACCAATGACAGAAGACTTTGAGGAGTCGTAGGTGAGGGGCAGCCAATAACAGAGCGGCGACAAATGGCTAAAAAAAAAAGTCTTTTATGTCCTCGGGTGACCTAGTAACATTTTATTAAGGGGAGGCGTTGAAATTAATCAATTCAACAAAATGAATGTGATCACAAGTTAGTATTTTCCAGTGAAGATGTAACAATTTGTCACATTGATTACACTTTCAACTAGTAACAATTCAACTAGTTGTAACTTTTATTGGAAGAATATTTTAAAGTTACACATTAAACAATTTTAACATTCCTTCAGTCTAATTTAATACAAATTGCTACTTTTGAGCAAATTGTACCAGGTTTGAAATTAATGATAATTTGCATTGATTATTTTTTGGATGAATGTTGGTTGAATGGTCTGTAAAACATAATATCCTAGCACACAGGGTGACGTGAATAACAATGTGACACCTAAAACATTTCCTATAACAACCTGGACACATCATATGTTGGGTATTTGTGATTGAAAAGTGGCTTCAATGTTTCTCAAACCAATTAACTTTCTTTTGATTAATTCTTACACCGCTAAAATTCAGCATCTTGTCTTGTCACTTCTGACACTAAAAACATGAACTTGACCTTTTGCATACTTGATTTGAAAGAATATAAAGCATTTCCATTGGCTCAGTATTTTACAACAATGTATTTTTGGGAGGTGATGTATATGAATATATGCAAAGTAGGGCATCTAAAATATGAATATTTGAAGTTGTGTGCTGTTGAACTTTGTCCTCAACATCTCTATATTCTACTCTACTGAAAACATGAATTTCTTCACAGAAAAAGTGCCATTCACTATTGAGGATTGAAAAAAGCTTGCTGATTGACAAGCTAGTGCAGCAGTACCTTTAACTATTAACAGTATAAGTACACAAGTGTAAAATACTCTATGGTAACAAAAAAGTCTTAGTTGAATTACATGTTAGTGTGCAAAAGTATGTCAAGTAGAATGGCCATGTAAATTTCCATCAGCCTTAAAATGAACCCACAATGTGATTTGGTTCTAAAAAAAAACAAAAAGAATGGTTGATAGCAACACCACATCCATGAGTAATTTATTTAAAAACCTTGTACAGAAAATAAAGCCCCTGTTAAAATGATAGATTTGAGACCAAAACCCTGGATGAAGAGATTGAAGAAAGATTCAGGGCAAAAACATGAATGCTGCTAGTGGCCGTGATGGTGATGGTTGTGATTCATTTGATGATGCTGAACATAATTCATGTATAGAGCTCAAAGTCAAGTCTCTTGGAGTTGTAGAACTGAGATCCCTCCTGGTCCTTTCGCCTGCAGTAAACACCACTGCTGAAATAGCCTTCATCCACCCAGTCCTGAACAAACAGACAATAAGAAGATTAAAACACACCTGGTCAGATTGAGGTTAAAGGTAGAACTGGCCTGCAAGTCAACAATCCAGTAAAGATAACTAGATTAACTAATAGGTTTGCAGTCACATTAGTTTGCAAGAAACAAACAAAATAAATGAGTAAATAACTAAATAAAGTTGCTATTTAATGTGTCGGCATAGGCGCAAAGTTATACAACTTGTGCATGTACTTGATAACACTTTAAAACAGTCATTTCTGATATGGTGATAAGCATGAAAACTTGAACTGTGTCCCAGTTAACTTACTTTAAAACATCATAAATAAGCAGAAAAATGTTAAGTCCCTTTTTGAGACCTTTTCAAATCTGCAGTCCACAATTTCCCGCTATTTTTTATTATTCATTTTCTTTCTTTGTCATTCATGTTAAATTGAAATAATAATTAGTCCAATGTCAGAATGCATATTTAAAAACAAAAGTGCCACAATCAAGAACACTCAAAGACATCAGTACACATACTAAATTTGTTTTATGTGCATTTTTACTGTATATGTTATATCTGTAGGAAGCCATTTATTACACAACCTGTAACCAATGTGGAGCTTCCTGGAGCCCACCGGTCCACAATATTACCTACAAACTCGAGAACTGAGTATAAGACAATACCTGCATCTGCTGACTGGTGAAAGGGCCGTAAACTTCTGAATTATCCTCGTTGTCCCATTTGTACTCCCACAGCACTTCGTCATTCACTGAGAAGATAAAACTGGATTAAACATAACCAAGATATTTTGTGATATTGAAGGGAATTGCATACAAGTAACACTAAGTAACCTCTTGTGTCGTCTGCCTCCCCTTTATCCTTTTGTCCGCCACCATGCTTATCATCAATTGTATCTGCGAACATGTCAAGTTCATCATCATCTTCTTCATCACTGTGTTTCTGCCTCACAGCTGGTTGCTTGCTGCTCATGCTTCTCATCAAATAGGCCAGTTTTTCATAAGTTTGCTGATAGATCTCAAACATCCCAGATCCAACCAATCTGTCAGCCAGTGCTGTGAGCCTGTCGAGCTTTTCTGTATCCCTTTTGGCCTCCTCTGTGGGTTCACTCTCTTCTCTCATCTTCCCCTTCTTACGTCCTCCAAGGCCTCCTAGCCGACGGAGCGCTGTAGCAACCGTCTCCCCAGGTAGCAACAGTTCGACTACAGCTTCGGTGAGCTGATGCTGTGTGTAGGATGCCAGCGGGTCCTCTGCAGGCTCCATCTCTTCCTCCTCCTCGTCTTCTTCATTTTCTCTGTCTGCCTGCTGCTCTTCCCTCCGTTTCTCATCCTCAGCCTCATCCTCATCTCCGACTCTGCGCTTCCGTTTGGCTCCAAGACCTTTCTTCTTTTGTTTGAAGGGTTGTTCTTTTATTCTCACCTGGAAGAAGTAGCATGTATTATTGCACATTGCTTGAAAGGTTTTCAAACATTAAGCAAAAGTCCCTAAAATGTAATTACCCAGTCAATGTTGTCAAGCCAGTTGTCTCTAATCTGTTGTTCCTTTTTGATGAAATAGTTTCCCTCTGAATCAAAATGTCCTTCCTGCATCTCCTCATCCAGGTTGAAAGGTGTAATCGGAACTCCCTCATCACAGTCGATTGTTGCTCCCTCTTGGCCTGAAAACGTAGTTAGCATTGTCACAGGTGACTTAATTACTTCATGTTTAGGCAAAACACTTTCTTGCAAGACTCATGGCACTTGTATGAAGCAGAAATAGACAAAAATCTGTCAAAGAATTCAGCCGCTTCATGTTCAAAGCTTGCTTCTTAAGACAAGACAACCTCTCTGCCATTTATCACTTCATAGTTACAGTTCAAATGATAACCAAGACATACCCTCAACGTCATCATTGGCCAGAATATCATATTTGCTGTTGTTAGTGTCATCTCCTTCATCCTCTTCATCGCTGTCGAGGGAATGTTTGCCCTTAAATCTGGAGCCTGGTCCACTCACAGCCTCACAAGTCTAGTTCAAGAGTAACAGAAAGACGCATAACATTATATAAAACATTAAAAGTACTACATTCATCCATTTTCTTGCTAGATTTAAAGATTTATTTCTGTGTCCTGACATTAATTTAGCTCTTTAGCGTGGGTCCATGTGTCTGTCTGACAGGTTAAAAGTGTAGGTCTGCACTTTTGAGTCTTAAGGGTTAGAGGCGCTGAAAAGTCCTCACAAAGGACAAGAAAGAAATGATCCTGCACAAATCCAAAGCATGCAGCTACAATCAATGACATGGTGTGTGAAGACAAATGATCAACTCCTCCTTACAGATTATTTAACTTGCATGGTAATCTACTAGAGTTTGGAGAATATAGTCTGGTCCAGTGACTTAGGGGGCTTTCACACCTACCTCGTTTAGTCCGGACTTTCGGACTTTTCAGTTTGGTCCGACCCAAAATTGCAGGTGTGAAACCTCCTCCGGACCACGGTCCGCAACAAACAGACAGAATTTGGTCCGACCAAAAGAGGTGGTCTCGGTCCGGATCAACGTGAACCATGGTTCAGCATTGCATTTTAGGATGGTTTTGGACTTTCAGACTATTTACAGGAAGTTCGGCGGTTGCCGTTTAAACCGGAAACAAATAAATGCACGGATAAATGCATTGAAATAAGGACACAATTATAAATCTCCCGTGACAGCTCATCTTTTGATACAGACGGCCACTAGGCCTATAGTATCACACTGCCAACCATCTCTCAAGTGGACGTTTAATTGCGAATATGAACTAGCCTTCACTATAGTTGGTGCTGGAGGTAGTAGCCTAATACCATAATAATAACAATACAGTGGCAAATATGCATATATACATTTTTTCATTCATTCATTCATGTCAAAGCTCCCCGCTGAACTGTTTAATAAACCAATCAATGTCAAGTACAGGGAGACGCAGCCAACACAGATGACGACAGGACGCAGGTCTGTCATTTAGCCTAAAGTCCTTTAGAATGTTTCAAAATGTATCACAACATGAACTTTGGTGCAGACTTTTGAGTGTGAGCCCTCTTATTCGTCCCTGAACCAGGGGGAATCCAGCGATGAGTTTATTATTGTCTTTTGTAATGTAATATTTTTGGAGTGCAAAGTTTTACACTGATCATGGTATTCTGGCTATATCATATCCTTTGTAAAAGAAGTCACCTGTAAGCAGTTGGGTACATTAGTTAATCCTGAAATGAACAGTGATCTGATTCAAAGCAAAGACGTGCTACCTTTTTACTTGGAAGTTCGTCATCCAAGTCCAACTCCCCGGTCCCGTCCTCAAATGTTACTTTCCTCTTCGACATGGTGCTACAGAGGGCAAGACAGTAACTCTTTTATTCCTCAAACGCAACTGTAACATTAATAGTGAGCAGCTTTATAACACGTTCACAGAGCACATTCTTGTAACGCTGCGACTGGGGAACCCATGTTAGCTTTGTTGCTAAACATGTTAGCCAACAGCAGCACAGACACACAGCCCGCGCAGAACAAGTAAAGCCTCTCTCAGCAAAGTCCAAAATCTTGCTGGAGGTACATTTATATTTAGTTAACTACTACAATATAACCCGTCTGTGAACATATGCAAACAAGTCTCAGAAACTGAGATTAAACTGGAAAATGTGGCAAAACCTGGTCAAAATAACTCATGCGACGTTCGTTTTCGTTTCTTCTTCGCTTGTTTTCGTCTCTTTCTTGGTTGGTAAACAACGAGACGGCGCACTACTGCCACCACCTGGTGAGGATCGTATTTTTTAAATCTCTAAAATTGAATTGCTGCATTAAAAACAAATACTATCTTTCCTAGATTCTGACAATGAAACAATAAAATGTAAAACTCAAAAAAGACCGGAAGAAAAGTTGACATTTTAAGCTAAGTTAAGTTAATTTTTCATGAATATATAACACAGAAATGGGCAGCACGGTGGTGCAGTGTAGAGCAAACATGTACCTTGGTCTGTCCTGGCCTTTCTGTGCGGAGTTTGCATGTTCTCCTTGTGTCTGCGTGGGTTCTCTCCCACTGTCTCAGAAGTCTGTAATTTGAATCCCGTTTGAATGGTTATAGTATAAAGTATAATATAGAATAAACATGCATATTGTGAATTTGATGCCTGACCAGGGTCCATGACTGAAATGTTGTATTTAAAAAACAAACAAAAAACAAAATAAAACACATATAAACTTAACGACAGTGTGCAGGAATTTAACACTTTCTGTGAAACTCTTCTAGTTTCTGCATTGAGGTTTAACCCATGGCCGTACAGTATATAAAGCCCTGTAAATCTTTTCACCTGGGACTCTTTTAGTTTTGGAATTCCTTGAGGTCCTTACAGATAAAAAGGATAAGTGTGTGTCAAAAATAGATACACCAAAAACAAGTGAAGAAATGTAGAGGGACATTTGCAAGAGGTCATGTAATGTCTGTCTGCCTTTATTATTCTTATTTAGCAGTTAGTTAAATAAAGAGAGATGGATTCGGTCATGGCATTGCTTTAAAGGCAGATCATTTGACACACTATAGCAGATATTTCACTATGTCTGAAAATAAGCTGTGTATCTCCCTAAAGAATCAATCATCTACCAGGGGACATTTGATTTTCTCACCATCAGAGATTAAAATTAATTTGAAATTTTAAAAAAGTAACACAAAATGCAGAAGTGAAAGAGAGCTAAGGCCTCAAACTGCACTTCAGTATCCAGCATCTCACTTCCAGGTAGCTGTTCACATCTAGGAGGTTGGTTTCAACTGCTTAGTTTGGCTGATCTGCCGGCTCAGGGTCGACTGAAGCGCAGAGGAGAGAGAATATAACGTGTCAGGATTTTGTTACCAGGAAGTGGGTCGAGTTATTTATATTTCAACACCCGTCGTACCACTCGTACCCAAGGGAGAACCAATGGTAGTAACCTGAAACTATATATTCAAACATTGTCTGGTTCTGGATGCGTCAAACCGATAGAGAACAATTGGAACTCTGAGGACCAGAAGAAACTATCTGTAAATGTAAATACTGTGTGGAAGGGTGAAGTGACCCTGTGATTCAACACTGGCAGTGGTAAGTTTCTATTTTCTATTCAGTTGGTGACAATGTCTGCTGCTTTTAAAGCTTACAATGGTGTTGATATGAAATGTAAAATCTTACATGCACTGCACTGTTTCACTTTACCTACTGTATATACTACTTATGTTAACCTGTTTATATCTCTGTGTTATACATGTATGTGTGTATATGGGCGTGAATACAGTATATATGTATACATACAGTACATATGTGTGTAAACCGGTACTTTCCTAATTGTACATAACTGGTTCTTACTAAGCACATATATTTACTACATTAATATTACAGTGTGCCGATACTTGGAGGATATTTAATATCTATCTATTTAACTGAACTTACAAGAAAATAATAACTTATTGTGGTTTCTAGTTATAGTACAATCATTTTAATGGTTTTTGTGATTCTGGAATTAGTTTTTTAGTATTTCAAATTCTAAATGTAAAAGCACGTTTCTTTAGGCGTTGGGATGAAGCTCCATCAGAAGATTTTGACCCATTACCTATCATGCACCTCTCCGGTTGATAAAGAAGGATATCTCTACAAAAAGGTTTGGATTAACATATAAAACACATACAACATAAAATAACTGATTCCCATATGATAATCCTGCTTTACTTTGACATCTTTCTTCATAGAAAGAGCGAACTGCCACCTACCAGCGGCGATGGTTTGTCCTGAAGGCAAACATGCTTTTCTACCAGGAGCGCCCAGCTGACCGACACCTGCTGGGTGTCATCGTGCTGGAGGGGTGTGCAGTCCGGCACTCGGAGTCTGATGGACAGTTTGCCTTTTCCCTGGTGTTTGAAGGGCCTGGACTCAAAACCTACAGATTTGCAGCAGGGGATAGTCAGACTCTAGAGAGCTGGGTGAAAGCTTTGCTCTCAGCCAGTCACTGTTACCTCTCCCTGCTGGTGAGAGACTTGGGGAGGCAGTATGAAGGTTGGTTATGTGTTATGAGTGTTGTGGCCTTGTTCTTTATATTGGTGCTACTGCCCTTTCTGTAGACTGAAGTTTATGTTTTTTGGGGCCTTTAAAGAAGTGTAGTCTTTTATGGACAACTTTTATTGGCTGCATCATACATTCTGTATTTTTTTACTTCATAAACATTGTTTGAAAGTAGAAAATAGCATTAGTTGAGCAGTACACCATCCAGGTACTTATTGTGCACTTAATTTAGCCATAACTGTCACTGTGACACACTTGTGCAGTCAAAATAGCAAGTGTAACACAGCACAGTGACACAGCACAAGGGAGGACTGACAGCAAGTGTCAGGCTCAGGAAGTTACTGCTCCCATTCAAGAAGCAGTCTCGCACATAACCACCAGTATTATAATTGTTGTTTTTACACTTTATTTGTGTACAGATGAAACAATTGAGGAATAAACTGTTAATTAGTTATCTTCATTAGTGCTGGTAGCTGTAATTATGTTGTCCACTGTTATATGTCCACTGTTTCCAGTCTTTGTGCTAAGCTAAGCTAACTGGCTGCTTGTACCCAGATATGTGGTATTGATCTTCTCATTTAACATATTTCTCAAATCATTCTTTTGCACTATTATGTAAATAATATTTATTATTAGTTATTATGAGTAGCCTGTGTTTTTGTTAACTTCTTGTTTTCTATCTGCAGAAGCAAAAAAGCAACAAGCCTCTGGTGAATCCAGTCACAGCTCCTCTGTAAGTGACCCTAAACAGTCCACCTTCAATCATTTCACTGTGCAGCGGCCAACAGCAGTGGTCAGGGAGGGGAGAAGCTTCAGTGCCAGCACTGTTTTACAAGCACCTTCTAAAGTGGTATCTAAGAAGTCCCCTAAACTGTGGCTGAGGAGAAATGCTCATGTCACACCACTTAATGGACCGGCACCTTTGTACGGCGAATGGCCTTTGGTGGGTTTTGATACACTTGAGGAGTTTAGCAAACTTCATGATTATTATGGCCAAGAAGTGAAGAAAGCAAGAGAGGAATGGCTGAGGAGCCGACAAGCAGAAGAGGAACACACTGAGGGGGATCTCATTGACCTGGGCTGAAAAAAAACCTTACAACTTAGCCACTTAAGAGGAAGTGAGATGGAGTGGTTCATGTGTGTTAAAGAGGAACTTCACTGAAAGTGTTAGGAGTTTTGTATTTACAAACATAGAGTTTGATGCCCAGACCTATGAATGTGCTCAATGTCCATTTCATGTGATGAGTTTAGAACATTTGTATGTTAATTTTGTTTTAAAGTAATTTTCCAGATTTTCCTGAGCCAAGCCAGCCTTACAGTGTTTACGAGATGTAACAAAGAGGAAGCAAGGAACTTGCCCACAAAGGGTCACATAGGGCAGATACTGCAGGTGTTTGCACATCTGCACCTTTTGGACAACAATGTGGACATGATAGGCCCTTTTCACATCATTTCGACTACTGTTACTAATAACCTTAACAATGTCTCAGTTCTATTTAACTGCCATGACAGTTTAACAGTGAGCCAGCATGCACAATAACAGGGCCCCGAAACTGAAGCAACTAAATGGAATTCAGCCATGATTCATTTTATTATTTACACCTGTTCGTTTCCTACTGTGACATGTCAAAGGGCCTTTTCCTTGTTTGTTCTCATGTTCTTACTGCTAATTGGAACCTGCACTCCTGCTGCTAATTGCATATGTACAACAATGCCCTGAGCACTGACTATTCACATGTAGTGCAATTAAGAATTTTATCCATGTCATGGAAAAGAAATCTGATACAGTATTATACATTTTTCATTGCATGAAAAATAAAATTGACCTGTTGTCTCAAATGTCTCATAATCAGTTATACAGCTATACATGTCTGATATAAAGTAATATACTCTGACAAAAAATACAAACACAAATATAATTTTATTTCATGCACATTGTGAAGTTTTCACTCAATTCTTCACACAAGAAGAATCACAGGGAAATAAATGGACATAAGCACAAGACATCTATAATTTTCCTTTTTACCGTACATAATAAACTTTTTCAGAACAGAACTTTAGACACATTATAGCAGTAAAATTACAGATGTTATTAATTATATTAACAGTGGCTCTGTATTATTCTAGTGTGCCTGAAGCAGCTAAAGTGAATTTTGCCATTATTCATTTGTTTTTAATATTAACTGTTGACAATGACACAAAAAATACAAAGACAACTTTGGTCTCTGGCACAGTTCATAAAGGTTTAAATCATAAAAACCACTTTCCACTAGAAATACAAGGAAGCATAAGATAAGACAGAACTTTTTTTATCCCAAAGGAAATTCTTAAAGCGAGAGAGAGAATTTGTCCATTTTATAGTCATAAAGAAATGGGATCTTTTGTTTCCACATTTATCTCAGTTAAAGGTAGGATTTTGTTCAGTCAAGTCCTTGAAGCGAGCAGATAAAAATGATGTGTGGATGATTGCCACAGAGTGAGGAAAACCTATTTTAAATTAGATTCAACTTTATTGTCTCTGTGCAGAGTACGGGTACAGAGCTAATGAAATGAGGTGGAACCAGAAGTGCAGAAATATAGTTTTTGTGGATGAAGTCAGTACTCC